CTTTCACAACGAAACACAGCGTCACACACGGCGGCCTAGAGTGAGCGGCGGCGGCCTAGAAGGAGCAGAGGCCGGGGGCTAGAGTGAGGAACAGCCGCCAACTTTACAGATCTTCTTTATGCACCAAGAGCTTGTAACACTCCAAAGAGAAAGGAAAAATTGAAATCGCATCATATGACCCCTTTAATGGTATAAAAGAGTTATTTTTCAAATGACTGTTGTTTTTTTCAACTTCCTATGATTCATCAAATATATCATGTCACAGCTTCCACAAAAATATTAAGCAGCACAAGAGTCTTCAAAAATTGATAATGATAAGCATGTTTCTTGAGCATCAAATCAGCATAAAAGAATATAAGACTTCTTTCAAAAAACATTTAAAAACCTTACTGACCCCAAACATTTGAATGAAACTGAACAGTGATTCATGACATCAAGTGTCGCACCTTGACAAAACACAGTCTCCTATTAATCTAGAAGACTGTGGATAAACCTTTCCTGGGCCTCAACCTCCCAACCAACGTGCAGTTCACATCAAATGCCAACATGTGCATAGTCAAGTAAAACACATGCACACCAAAATAAAGAAAACACAATGAGCTCTGCATGTTTTTCATGAGGACCCATGCACAGTAGCATTTATTGATTTGCCACATGGTGGGCGGACTAACACAATGCAAGCTCTGTCTGAAGCATTTCGGTCTCACTTCAATCTAACAGTGGCCCAGAGTGACAGGCTTCCCAGTGAGAACATCTAACACTGAGAGCTTTCAGCACAGATGCACTGTAAGATGCTGACCGTGCTGTAAAACTGGAAGGTGGCAATAGTCCTGCGCAACCAGCTGTACAAATGAGCTGTCTGTTCCCACAGTGACCCGACAGAAGGATACATCTCCATCACTGGAGCTTGCTGTTCTGCTGTATTCTCACCTTATATTCTTGGTGGACCTGAAATATCTGTAGAGACTAAGACAGCTGGGATTCATAACAAAAAAATCAATGAAGGTTTGAGAACAGTGCTTGACGGTTTAATGGTTACAGCTGGAGGGCAGGCAGATGTAGAAGCACTCAGTCTTAGGTAACATCAGTAGGGAATGTCTGACGATAGTGCACATGGTTACAGAAATGGCATAATATGCTTAACACCTCCTGCCACACTTAACACCATTTCTAAGAGCATGATATAGTAATCTCCACAGGTTAAAAGGACTTTAACACTTATTTAGAGGTTCCTGCATATAACTTGTAAGTTTAAAGACTATCATGTTATTCTAATGAAAATATAAAGTAATCCAGCACTACACTGATATTTGTAAAATGTATCAAAGTAAGCAAAGTAGAGAACTGACTACATGTACAGCACAATAGCGGACTGTGTCTCAAAGCCTAGCTTGCTGCCCAAAAATGCTGTCAAGGTTGGCAGCTCACTAAAAAAAAAAAAAATTTGCATTAGTAGGACTGTGTATCCCATAGTTTAACAGCTGTCAAGTCTATCCTTTTCTCTGTTAGGACTATTACTGACATTTACTGCTAACAAACAACTGAAATTATCACTTTTATTGTGCAAACTGGGGTGTACATATGGCATTATTTATGGCTTCCTATTTTTATTTATAATATATTTTTATCCCTTCCTGTTTCGATATTCATAATTTCATATTTTCTACATTTTCATAATTCAAAAGCACTATTTCCAACACAATATTTATGCAATTGTGATTCATCTGTAAATGCATTTATATCATATATAATATACATTTATATTTGTGTGGCATTAAACAGTCTCTATAAATGCAGGATGAATTGGATTGTGTCTTTCTTATAGACTTTCACTGGCGTTACTACTAACAAACTACTGAAATTATCACGTTTATTGAGTAAACCGTGGTACCTATGGCATAATTTATAGTGTACTGGTCTTACTTAATTTATAATGTCATCAACCAGTTTCAATCAACTGCATATGTAAAACATTATTTTCAAAGCATTATTTCTGCAACTGTAATTTCCATGTAAATGCATTCACACACCACATACTGTACATAAACCTATTTATGTATGTGTGGCATTAAACAGTCTCTGTAAATTCAGGATTAATAGGATTGTGTCTCCCATTGTGTATTAGCTGTCAGGACAATCCTTCTCTCTGATTAGAAGTCTTAAGGACTGTTACTGACAATTTACTGCTGAAATGATCGTTTTGGTGTGCAAACTATTGTGTGCATGCTGTAATTTGATCATTTACTATTTTTATTAATAATTTTCATTCATCATCTTAAGTTTACATTATTTCACATTATTTTCAAAGCATTTCTGCCACTATAATTTTTTACAAAAACGCATTTATATAATATGATTATATAATATAAATATATAGGCTTACACTTTATATTTGGTATTTTGATTTAAAGCAAATGCATGGTATATATGCAGCTTCTGCGCATATGGCACAAGGATTTTAGTCCGCATGTGCTCAATGAAATTTCAGCTGTCAATGACTATAAACATACTTGGCTCTAGTGCATAAATACTAAGTTACATTCAAAAGAACCTGGTATCTGTTGTTCTACAGTAACTACTCACAGAAGGTGCAAACAATACAATGCCGTCGCACTCTTCGGAGTTTCTTGCGTAAAACGCTTCATAAGTTGCGACAGCTACCGCTTTGAACTTTTTAGTGAGTCTGGACTTAACAGAACCTAAATGAGCAAATGAAATGAAGAATGCACGTGTAAACAGACATGAGGGTTTAGGAGTTCAGTACCTCATTAGGACCCTCATGCAGCACGTCAAGCAGATTTCCTTTAGACAGGGATGCGATCATTCTTCCGACTTCTCATCAAGGTGAGAGGAGCGCGAGTGGAAAATGTGAACGTCCTTAGTCAGCGAGAGCGTTTTAACCGCATATCGGAGGAACTGAGGTAAACAAAGGAAACTACAGAAACTACATTAACCACGGCGATGGCCATATGTGCCTCCCCGTTAGCTCGCTAGACCTGAAACAGGATACGAGGTGTACGCGGATGGAGAGCGAGGTAGTGCGCATGCGTCCGCAGCAGCTGCTCCACGGTCGTTATGGCGACGCTTGAGCTTATGTCGGCTGCTTTCTGTCTCTAGCTTCTGCGCTGTAAAGTACATTGGTCTGGGACCGTGAAATGCACATTATACCTGTTCTGACTGAAATGACTCATTTGAAGTTAAATTAAACTTCTTGAACGCAAAGCACAGAAGAGGTGCTCTAGCCTGGATATCACACCCTGCTGTCCCTCCTTGTTTAAAACCAACACCACACCACAATGTGTAAAAATCATGATGTGAAATCTGAAATTCTGTACACAGTTTACTCTGGCTTCATTGTGTACAGCCCCATTAGACCACATCCTTCCTGCCTGCCTCATGCTTCCTGATTCTGCCTCGACACTATTTTATATAAAAAACTTATAACAATTAGCTTTTTTTCCTATATACATTTACACTGAGTTACAGAACCATTACTATAGAGATAAAAGGCTACCTCTACAATTAATATTATTTTAATCATTTATTTATTTTTAATTAAATGTCTGTGTCTCCCCCTGCTGTAAGAATTGCAACCGAAAGGGAAAAACATGGTTCTAAACAGCCAATAATAATAATAATAATAATAATAATAATAATAATAATAATAATAATAATAATAATAATAATAATAATAATAATAATAATAATAATAATAATAATAATAATAATAATAATAATAATAATAATAATAATAATAATAATAATAATGAAAAACATGGTTCTAATCAGCCAATAATAATAATAATAATAATAATAATAATAATAATAATAATAATGGCATTTGGATTGTAATAATGGATTTTATTAAATTTTAAAAGTGGATTTTATTAAATGTTTTAAATCTTAAAAGTTTTTTTTTAAATGATGAATGAAAATGATAAAAGATCAGCAATTTTTTTTTAAAAACAGCACATGATCAGTTATACAATATATACCACAAATTGCACAACAAAAAATATATTTTCATTTTAAATTATAAAAAGCCACAGGCTTGGTAGAGCTCATTTATTTAACTATACAAAATATTTGTTTTATATTTGGGCTGCCCACTAATAAGATTTCAAAAATTATAATAAAGACTTTTTAAATGATAATAATAATAACAACAACAACAACGCCATTATTATTATTATTATTTTAAAAGTATTTATTCTAATTTTTGAAACCTTATTAGTGGGATTAAAACATTTAATACATTTCAAAGCATTATTTCTACAATTGTAATGCCTGTGTAAATACATTTATAATATATACCTATATTTGTGTGGTATTAAGCAGACTTTAAATAAATGCATGGTATATATGCAGCTTATGTGCAGTGTACATATGGCACAAAGATCATAATCATTTATTTAAAAAGTATTTATTATAACGTTTTATTAAAAGCATGATAATAGCAGATAATCTAAACAATAAAAAATTTGTAGACAGTTAAATGAGCAATACTGAGTCTACTGGTAAGATTTTAATTATTTCTTTTGTTGTGCAAACTGTGTAATTTATAGTTTACTGTGGCTTTTTCTACGATATTTAACAGTGGCTCATCTGAATAATTAGTTCCATATGCCTTTACAATTCAAATCTTCAGAGACCTCATAAAAATGCACAGTGTGGCTCATATATAGCACAAATTATTTCATTTATTCACATTTCTATCACACTTCAAGCTGAAATCCTTTAGGATTACACCTGTCTTCCACTTCTGAGGTTTTTATGTGCTCATCATACTTACAGATTTCTCCACAGATGGCGAATGCAGCATCTTGCTGATCTACGAAGTGATAAACGTTTCAGTGGTTTTGATTTGTTCATTATGTTACGAACCAGTTGATGATGGAAAATCAGCCAAGCTTCTCCCAGAGATTTTCATCCCTTACACTTCAAGACTTTAGTGTTTACTTAAACGGCTGACTCCGACTGAACATCGCTCACAAGGCGAGAAGAATTTTTACAATTTACTGAAACTTGTAACTTAAAGACAAGCGGGCTTGTTAAACACATTCTCAGCAGCAGCCTCTGAACGTTAAAACTAGCGTTAGCATTCATAACATTACCAGACATCAGTTCTTAAAGTTTAGCGGCCTACCTTAGGTTTCTCCCGCTTTCTTGACGATATCATTAGTAAGTTTGGTAATCCACCTTCATGTAAATATAGTTATAAATGTCCACCAGTAGAAAGTAAATCACAGCAGCAGACTTCTGAATCTGCACCGGTCATAGTTTCTATGGTTACCAGAAACAGAAGCACGTGCGCTAAACAGCCATTGGTTTAAATAGTTTTTCTGATTTGACATTAAAGTGGCTGCAAAATGAATAGTGTAAGTGTTTTGAATCATCCCTGTCGAGATGAAAGGCTAACTTTACCCTGTGTTGTATGATTTTATTTTATTGTTTTGTATTAGTGGCCTGTGTCTCCCCCTGCTGTAAAAGCTGCAAATTGTAATGCCGTCAGAAAACACAAATTTCTATAATCAAAACCGAAGTTATTCAAATAAATCCCAAGTGACACGTTTAGCTGTTGTAGGTTTGTTTATTAATACTAAAAAAACAAAACAAATATCTGCACAAGAACAACCATATATAGTAACAAAATTTAAAAATATATAAATTTATCAATAATTATAAACCTTATCACCTTCCAATGTAGTTTTACAGGAATACAGCATTTAGCACATCAGGCTCACTGCATATTAAAGACAATATTGGCAATCTGACACGCTAGTTATATGATAAATGTTTACTACATCCGGGACAGCTTTTGAATTATCAGTTGATTCGATTATATTTCATACAGTTCAAAATAAAGTCAGAGTCGCAAAGAATCTAAAAACAAACAGAACCAAACAATTTACAAAACAATACACAAAAGTTAATACAAAATCCAGTGTCTCCTCTCAACCTGGAAAAGTTCATTCAGGCATTTCTAAGCACCTTTCAATAATCTTTTTCTTTGCTCATGCATGCAGAGCTCTTATTTTTTCCCCTCATAATCTTGTTTTTTTTCCGCCATAAGTCTAGATACACATCCAATGTTTTACTTTTTTTCTCTTTGCACACAATTTCTCAGTGCTGCATTCAATGAAGATATATTTGCAAAGACACTTTAGCTTCCAAATAATGCTATATTTCTTTTTTTCACACTTGTAAGTTTTAATTGAGCTTTAGATCATATTTATTTTCACTAAATTTCTGTAGATATTTAAATCTTCAGACCGCAACACAACCTACTGATATTTCAAGGGATATAACTCCACTTGGCACACACACACACACACACACACATTTGGGCACCTTTGCTATTATATAAATAACATAAATTACTTGGATTTTGACTTAACATGTAAATCTTATTTTGCCCATTTATTTGTTTTTTGAACTAGAGCTGTTAAAGCACAAAATGAAAGCTCCAAGCACCGCAGAACTGAGCAGAAATTTACACCCATCGCTTAATTTTTTTGCTGTGCGCCTGTTCATCATCAACTTTTTAATATATTGTGGGGAGGTTATGGACGTTCATGCTGGGTTTGGACTGACTAGACATTTGCAATGACCAGTGAAACAAAGACAGTGAGTAATTGAGATCTTTTAGGTTTTATCATGTGGCTGTTTGATTGATAAATATGCAAATACATAAAACACAAAGCTATCAAAATATAGAGTATGTACAGGTTGCATATCCTGTCAAAAGTCTCCTATGATAAGTGAGAAAATCCAAAAGATTGAACTTTTTAAGCCAGATATCTTGTTTAGGAGATCATCTGTGTTTTAAAGATGGAATAATAGTTTAGAAAGATCTCAGTGTCATCAGAGATATGCATCGGACGAAGATTTCAAATGAAAACATTCCTATATAACCACAATTATGATACATTCGTACACTTGCAATTTTAATCATACTTTTTTTAATAATAATTAAAACATCGTACCTCCATAAGTGTGAGCCTTCAAGTTTAAAAATGAGAGATTTCAAGAATTTTTTGAAAAAATGTACAGTTATGATTGGCTTTATCGCTCCATCTCCATGAAAACTGTTTATTAGGTTAACACACTTTATCATACAACAATAAATGTAGGCAGTAATGAGCACCTTGTGACTAACAAGGACTTGTTAGTAATACTAGTAATGGTGGAGAACTAGCCACCAGTGTAATAAAAGAAAGAATGTACTGAAGCAAAAGTCAAGCCAGAAAAGGTTTCTTGGCAGTTTGGAAGTACTGGTTCTGCCTAAAATATGGAGTCAAGACCAAAGCGTGAGATAGTGGAATGGTTTGTGATCTCTAAGTGCACAGAGCCTGGAAAATAGCACCTACTCACTAGAAACAAGTACCAATACTGGTAGAGTGCGTAATAATATAAAGGAATAGATCACCCAAAATTGAAAATTTGCTGAAAATGTATTTATCCTCAGGCCATGCAAGATGTAGATGAATTTGTTTCATCATAGAAACAGATTTGGAGAAATTTATCATTACATCACTTGCTCACCAATGGATCCTCTGCAGTGAATGGGTGCCGTCAGAACAAGAGTTCAAACAGCTGATTAAAACATAACAATAATTCACAACACAACTCGAGTCGCTCAGTTAACATCTTGTGAAGAAAAGTTGCGTGTTTGTAAGAAACAAATCCATCATTAAGGCGTTTTAACTGTAAACCATTGCTTCTGGTCAAAACATGAGTCTATAATCCATAATCACTGAGATGTTTTTATCAGCTGTTTGAGCTCTCATTCTGACGGCACCCATTCACTGCAGAGGATCCATTGGTGAGCAAGTGATGTCATTTCTCCAAATCGGTTCTGATGAAGAAACAAACTCATCTACATCTTGGATGGCCTAAGGGTCAGCAAATTGTCATTTTTGGGTTAACTATTTCTTTAACCAAGAGTGGACTGACCCCAGAAGTGGTCACATTATAGTGGTGAT